TTTTTTTTTTCTGGCCTTGGTTTTTGTTTGTTTGTTTAATATGCTAATGTCCCTGGTTTTTCCATATCGATATGTTTGTTAATTGCAAGAAAAAATGAAATTTCAGTGACTCGAGAATGAGAATATATAGTGATATAAATTGACATCTGAGTTAACCTTGCCATTTCCATTTTGTTTGAGAAATAAACTCTCTTTTCCCAACAGCCACCACTGCAAAGCAGCACTGTCATCTCAAAAATTGTTTATATCACCATCATCATCAATTACTTGAATGTAGTTTTTACAAAATTCATTAAAACCCTTTTTTTTCAGCATTTAAGCTTTAAAAGAAATCAAATTTTTCTGTCTCATAATTGGAAAAGGAAGACGGCTGCAGTTGATTACTAATATTTGAACTTGTCTACAAATCTATTTCAAATACATCTCAATTAAAGAAATTTTTCATGGCTTTGAAATTATGGCACGAGCTTACCTTGTTCTGTAAAGCTTGCCCCAAGGGCTTGAGTGTTTAAGGAAATTTGACCTCCTGCTGTGTTGTCAGCTAAACATGTTAAAGGTGATCTTTGGCTAGGACTTGGCTCTACAGGTAATGAACAGATGTCATTGTTTATTGTTACAATTCCTGGCATTTCAGCCACTTCCAAGTGAAGAACAACAGACCAAAAGATTAAGATCAAATTACAACACAGGTGGCCTAAGCTCAGTCACAGGCTCTTTCACTGTGAATAAAGTAGTTTAGTTGGACTTGCTTTTGAGCTCCGTAAATGTAAAGTTGTCTAAAATAATCAAAGAAATACAGTCTTACCTTCATAGAGAATAGTCTGTGTTGTTCTCCTCGCTATTTGAGGCCGTTTTGATGTGTTTTAGCTTGACGCCCTAAATTACTGTGCATAAAATACGGGAAGGTTAGGGTTCCAACTCTTCACACAGACTAAGGTACCCCGGGTAAGAGGATATTTGTAAAAATCCATTGAAAACAGTGAAGATGGACAGTATCGACGATCTAGTCAAGTCGATGAGTTTACCCGGGGTACCTTAGTATGTGTGAAGACTAGGGTCCAGGTTGACCGCGCATTAACGGTCTCTCAGCTGCACAAGAAGTTCCTTCCACGCATTAGAAGAATTCCGAACGGCCGTTAATTTGAAATTCTCGCTGGATTGGTTGCTCGACAAACCGACTTTTGTGGGATTTTTTTCGGTGAACTTAAAGGGCAACTATTTGGCTTTCGTGCTGCCGAGTTTTGATTCGAGGGAAAGTATTTAAGTGTTGTTTTCGAGCGATTTTGGCGAGCATGTGTCAACAGAAGTTTCCGACCTTCCCGTATTTTATGCACGGTAATTTAGGGCGTCAAGTTAAAACACTTCAAAACGGCCTTAAATGGCGAGGAGAACAGCACAGACTACTCTCTATGAGGTAAGACTTTATTTCTTTGATTATTTCACACAACTTTACATTTACGGAGCTCAAAAGCAAGTCCAACTAAACCATTGTACAAACTCTTTAATTATTCACTGGGAAAGAGCCTGTGACAGAGCTTGGGGTACCTGTGCTGGCACCAAATTGTGTGGTTCTAGAAAATATCCATACCTCCCCCCCACAGAAGATCATTGGAAATTCTCACGGGGAGGGGGGTTCAAGGGCAGTAATTTCCGAGGGGTAGGGAGGTTCGTGGGAAACCACTTTTCCAAAGGGTGACGAACCACGTACAAAACATTGAAAGCAACATACGATCGACCTGAAGCACAAAAACATATTCACGTACGTTGTTTTGAAACAAAAGTCAGTACTCCTGGCCATTGAGATAAAGTTAACATAAGCTTTAATGTTTCTGTTTTTCTTCGAGTAAGCTAGCGCTACAACCTCCCAAAGCACGGTTGTCGGAGTACTTTCGTTCCCATTTCTTGCTTGATCTTCAGAAGGCCCGGCTACCTAGCTACTGTAGTAAATCGTGACGATGTTCACGAAACCTAGTTAGCATGTGTGTGCTAGTGAAGTTTTCGGTCTTTAAATAAGAATCAATCTGAAGAAAGTGATAAAATGTGTAGAGAAAGGAACCTTGTAAGTTTCTGTTTTATTTACTTTCGTTTGCAAAGTTGTTTAAGCGAGTGAAACGTTCTCATCCGAGTTATCACGAACACGTACGTGGAACAGTCGACGTTTTATATCAGTTTAAATTTTGCAACCCAGATGTTTAAGCTTATAATCTTACATAAAAACAACACGGACATGATTTGCCAAAATGATGGTGAACAAGCTAAAAGTATAAGTTTAACAAAGCGTTATATTATTTTTAAAGTTAACCTTAATGTTATCAATGTTGTAATAAAATTCTACCGCATTTACGAAACCAACGTAACTTAGTATTCACTTTCTCTTTTTGTAAGTAGAAAAAGCACTGAATTTCCAAGGGTGGTATAATGAAGTCCCCGATTAAAATTCTGGAAATTCCTGGGGGGTTGGGGGGGTCATCAAAGACCCCCTGGAATGGAAAATCCTGGGGGGGTGGGGGTGCAAATCAAAAAGTCTTCCATGGGGGGTAGGGATATTTTCTGGAACCACACATTACAATATTATGACAGACATACCAGTTGCAGTAAGATCACTTTGAAATCCAGTTGTTGGAAAAGCAGAGACTGGTCCACCATTAATATTCCCTGGCTGAAGAGTTACCTATTTTTAAATAAATTCAAAAAGTAATTTGTATGTTACCAAA